TATCCCCACTTACTTTCCAAGTATGCCATTTGGATGTTGGACTAAACCAAAAGGTAGAACAACTTTTATTTCCCTAGCAACTCTGCATGCTATCTTTCTGCTCTGATTATTCTATCATATTTCTATAATTTTAGGCCTGAAGAATCAGTAGTGAACTTAGGTACAATGGCAGGGTACTAATAAATTAGCTGTCAGGAAAGTCCCACTGCTCATGGATCCCACTGCCGTGGTAGCAATGCTGACTTGGGACCTGATCCTACTGGATGCTAAGCACCATTTTGGTTTGTGTTTTTCTCAGCAGAAGTAGCAATGCTCAGAGTTAGCCTCTAGGATTACACCACCCTGGGCAAACTCAGCAGTGCATAAAATTGGTACAGGTACAGAAATAACACCCAAACTACACCCTGTGTTAAGCACTCATGCCCTGATCTTGCAGACACCTACACACATTTCTTCTGTGAGTAGTCCTACCGACTGAAATAGCTCTACAGACAGAAAATCAGGCATATGCATTTTTGTTTGCAGGGCTGAGGTCTTCTATTGCACTGGTAAAGGTACGCCTCATGGAGAAGGGCTTGGGCACACTTCTCTTGCTGGGGATTGAAAGATAATGTTGTGTTTATACAGCTTTGGAATACAGCCTGCACTTTTTGGAAAAAAATAAGGAAAGAGACAAAAAGAAGGAAACCCAAGAGTGCTAAGGCAAACTGTCAAATGACACATCATACCTACTTTGTCATTCATTTAGATAACATCACAAAGGCAGACCAGAGGAGTTCTGTAAACATATACCATACAGTACATCAGCCATGGGAAATTAAAAAAAGAAAACAACCCTGTAATTCTTTTCTTTCTGTATTGATATTCTTGTAATTGAAAGAGATTGCCTAGCCACTAATCATAATGCTGTGGTTTTTGATTTGTATTTTTCTTCTGTTAAAAAAAAGAAAGAATGGAAGTAAAATGCAGTGGTTTTCAAAAGAAACAGTCCCTGAATTCAAACAAGGGACGACATGGAAAGTGGGTTCATAGAAACTTAGAAAATACAAAATATAAAAAAGTTTCATAGGTTACTTTTTCCCAGTCTAGGAAAAGATACACTGAAAGGAGGTCTTTTTTTTGTTTTGTTTTTCTTACAAAAGTTAAGGCGAGCAGTTTGTTGTGGCAAAATGCTATCACTGAACCAGTTTCTGACTCTACTTTTTTGTATCCCCTCATGCTGAAATTGAAAATGTACATGTGATGGCATAAGTTAAACAGACAGGGAGTATGCTTAAAACAATACAAAAAACCCATCCCATAATGATCCTTACAAAAATTTCTCTCTGCTTGACCATAGAGTGGACCATATCCTTCGCACCTGATTGTGCATGAACTTCTAAAGGCAGCTTCCTATCTGAGGGTAAGGGGAAAACCGATCCCTTGGAAAACCAAAGCAGCCCTGGAAAACCAGTGTACATCCATCAGCCTAAGTATCTGAATTCCCCTGTAACATGGCTGCAGACTAATGGCTAGAAGGGACAAGCTGATATCCAGGCATGGCTGCTGCCCTTGTGGAGGAGGATGATTGGAGTAAGTGTGTTTCAGCCAACGTAGCTAAGGCCCTCTGAGTTCAGACTGATTTGCTCCCATTTTGTATATTTCCTGACCTCAGATGTGAAACTGCTTTTGACCTGTAAAGACAAACCCTATGCAGACAAACCTTTAGCTTTTCTGGATCTATCAGGGCCCATTAGTCATGGAGTTCATACGAACACATAAAAAACACTGGCCTTCCTAGGCACTCAATGTTAGCTACAAGTACTGAGCAGTAGGTATTTGGCAGGTTTAAGGTTTAAGGCTTGTGCTCTACTTCTAACCACTAAAGGGCCACTTCTGGACTCTTGGGTGCCACCATCTCCCTACCATGCTGTGACTCAGATGGTGTAGTGGTCTCAGACACGTTCTGGTCCCAGCCTCAGCAAGCATCTCCCAAAGCTGGCAGCTAAGGGAGTCATCCCCAAGATGCTGAGTCTGTGCTGAACCAGAAGGTCATCTGACAGGGGAGCATGCGGCTGAAGAGATGCATGGACAGAGTGGGTTAGGTAAAGATGACATCCCAAATTTCCCAGGCAGAAAGCTTTGGGAAAAAACGTCCATAGGGGAGAGGAGCAACGGAGGGAAAGACTGGGCTGGGAAGACACTGGGATGCCAGGGTGACCATGAAGGCGGCATCACAGAGGAAAGGGTGGTGAGCAATGACATGACCGACTAGGCCAGGAGGAGACGGCTGGGAGATTTGTTTTTGACTGTTACTGGTGAGGTGAACAGGCCCCAGAGTGAGAGAACTATTGCAAAGCGCGCCTGGCTCCCGCAATGCTCACAGGGTAGGGGTGAGGTGGAAAGGGCTTCACCCTTTGCATTGCAGTGCTTTGGGGTCCTAAACGCGCCTAGGGACAGCCTCGCCAGGCCACCCTGGGGGTGAAAACTCAGGGTCTTATTTTAAGAATGTTGAGGGTTGTAAATGCTTAGCATTTCTGGGAAAAAAACCCGAACACACAACCAAACAACAAAAACCCCAAAACACAGGTTGCTAGTTTCTGACAAACAGCCACCAGACCTACTGTTGCAATGCAGGGCTCTGTGGCTGTTCCTCTCTTTGATAAAACTTAGCCACCTAAGCCTGAGTCAAGCGATGATGTGCAGAGCTTCTGTGGGTGAGTTTGGTCCTTCTCCCATTCAAAAGGCCCCAGGGGGAGATGGAGGGAGCATGTGAAAGTCTATTAAATCTGGCCACTGCAGCACATATGGAGGCCAGCAAAATTTCTGCAGAAGTCATTATAGATGTGGCTGTCTTTTCCTACTCTCGCTTGCTTTTACTGTTTTTCTGACTTGTCACCTGGGCAGTGGTGAGAAGTTACACTGACCAGCTCCATACAGAACTACATTTTGCATTTTTTTGTGTGTATGTTTTTAGTGTGCCTCATATTATCACCACCATGAACAAGTGTCTTTTTTACTGGCACAGAAAGAAAAGAGTACAGAGCAAGAACTCTGTTTAATTGGATGCTCTGAACTAACAATTAATGCAGTAAAAACACCATCCAAGAAAGAACAGAAATATCATAGGAACCACCTCAGACTGGAAAGAGGCTTTTTGTTGTTTTCTTTCTCTTTCTTTTTTCCCTCCCTTCCTTTCTTTCTTTCTTTCTTTCTTTCTTTCTTTCTTTCTTTCTTTCTTTCTTTCTTTCTTTCTTTCTTTCTTTCTTTCTTTCTTTCCTTTCTTTCCCTTTCTGTCTTTCTTTTCCTTCCTTCCTTCCTTCCTTCCTTCCTTCCTTCCTTCTCTTTTTCATTTGCTGACATTGATTTTTAAAGTCTGATAGTTTCAAAGACACTTCAATTTAACACTATCAGAAAATATAAGTCCTGATTTTTAATCTCACTTCTGTAGTTATAAATCCAGAATAACTCCACTAGAGTGAGTGAATCCACACTTAAGCAAAACCAGTGTGAGACAAGAATCAGGCTCATAATATCTCACCATGAAAAAGCTAGCTGCTTTTTCACTGTAGTTAGAAGAATCGAATGACCATGAAACAAAGAAATATCTACTGATTTTGGATGCCTCCGCCTTTTTACATTTTCACCTTGAGTTGTTTTTAACAGGCCTGATTTTCAGAGTTCATATGAAGAAAAAATTACTGGAAATCAGGCCTCTTTGAAGTGTCCCACATCAGAAAATGAAGCATCCGAAATCACCAGCAGTTTTTCAAAATGTTAGCCTTGTGGCTATAGGATCTTCTCCTGAAACAGCTGCTCTGACAAAACTCCAGTGGGCCTCCACAGGAGTTTTACCTTGGTAAGCAGGCAGAATCAGACCCATCACCTGTCATTACGTAGGTGCACTGGAGGTACACTCTATGAGAAATTACACTTCTCTAAGAATTATAAAATAAAACTCTGGCCCTGCCCTCATTCCCAGCACTGAGAATTTCATCACTGAGTCCAGTGGGAACAGGGTCAGACTGTGAGACAAGTTCATTTATATTATAAGGAAATAGAAAGCAATATCTCTTAAATACTGGATTTCAGCAGGAAAACTTCATGTATAAACATTGGCAGAGTTATTGAAAGGCAAATAATTAGGTCAGTGACTCCATTTCAGTTGGTCTGACAGCTGCATCTTTTTCATGTCAAGTTAATTTCAACTGCAATTTGGGGAGATGAAGTACACATACAATACTGTAATCTGGAAGATTTATATAAGGCAAAATCATCATTCATACATTTTCTAGAAAGAATAATTAAGGTCCACTTTTGGTATCACCAATAAGCAGGAACGGCTGATGGTTTTTTCTGACACCACAAACTAAACTGGAAAGTCACTATAAAACAAAACTATGCAAACTTTTTGGGAAAGACTTGTCTGAGTTTTAGCAAATTAAAACACTAAAATGATCGAAGCCTTTCTTCAAGAAATAAAAAATAGGATCTATAAAATAATGTTTAAATGTGATTTTTCTTAAAAAAGAGAAGCAATGTGTTTTTAAGGCTCTCATATCTGGCTGCTGTGAAACTCAGACTCCCACAAAATCCTAGAAATCTGATCAAGCCTGCCAGATATCCAAAGAAAAATGTAAAAAGTGTTTTCGTTATATATATATTATATATATAAATCAAATAAATATGAAAACATTTGTTCCATTTCCCATTTATCGCTCACTCTGCAATATTAAAGAAAAAAAAACAACAAAAAAGAAGCAAAAAACCTCCCAACCCCTCCCCAAACCCCAAATAGTACATCTGATGGGAAAATAATCATGTGTTCCTCTTCCTGAAGAACTAGAAAGCAAAGCAACCCAACTGCAAGGCAATGGAGGCATTCACTTCCAGTTCACAGTATTGCAGTTAGAAGTACAGTGAGGTCTAGGTAAGTGATGGAGCAGGAGCTGCCCGGAGCAGGGAAGGAGGAGGTGTTCACATGACAATACAGCATTGACAGCGCTTTTTCTTTTGTGTACCTGGGGCAGCTTCCAAGGGCAGGCTCTCTTCCTTCCCCTCAGGAGAGGAGGGCTCTGTCGTGTCCGACAGGGGCCTGCCAGAGACCAGCTCAGCGGCGTTCCCATCCATGGTGGAGACATCTGTCACTGTCTTCTCCCGCAACGACTTCTCGTCATCTTCATCGATCAGGACCAGCTCTGCCTTGATGGTCTCATCATAGCCCAGCACTTTCTTTGTTTCCTCTTCATCATCGATGTTCTGGTAGCCCATAAATATCATTGTCACTGGCTGATCTGTGCTGGCCTCCGGGGCTTCGCCACCGCAGGGTTTGTCTTGGGGCTGAGGGTTCACTGCATGTCCTTTGCTGGGTTTGTGTACCATTTCCAGCTTTGCCTCCTTGAAGAGCATTTGCTCCTTCATATGGCTAAGGTTTCCATCGGCTACCGCATTTCTGTCTGACACAGTCATTTTTTCATACCCTCCTTTTACACTTGATTGTCCAGCTTTTTGCATAAGTTCATCTACGTCCTTTGAGCTTAATTTACGTACTCCATTTTCTACCACTGTGCCACCAGAGTGAACCTCATAGACTACCTTGGTACCATCATCATAGACTTTGAATCCTCTTTGATGGGCCTCATCTGGGCCAATAGGTGAAGCAGAGACAATCTTGGTCTCTCCTGTCTGTTTGTCTTTCTCCACATTAATTTCCATGGTGCACAAAGCTTGAATGAAAACAAGAGAGGAAGTGCATGTTACAACAAAAAAAGCCAGTGAATGGTTAATTGCCAAACAGACAAAGAAAACTACGGTGCCCTTTTCCTACCTCCTGCATCTAAAGAGCCAAGCATTTTACGTTAGCGGTGGGACAAAATGCTGTGGACAGAGATAGTTATTACACTACAGCTTTTTTATGCAGCTGGGAGCTAGGCATACCTGTGGCAAACCTAGTCTTCCATCTCACACCGTGTGGTGCTGTCTGATCAATTAGGAGTGCCAGGAGCACTTGCATTAGGTATAATTTAGACAAAGGGAGGTGACAGCATGCAGGTTGCCCTCAACCTTTCTGTTCTGAACTTGCCTCAAAATTCAGAGATAAACTAATTTCCAGGAAGCTCTCTCCTCTCTTTTCCTCCTCTGCCATCTAACTGCCAGTTAGATAGTAACTAGTTTTCTTTGCTGCAAGTTAACACCCAGACTGTTCTATTATCAATGCTTGTTCTTGCTTATGTCTTCCGTGGGTAGCATTTGAAACATTTTAGAGGTGAAGAAACATAGTTTACCCCTGTTCTACAGGTGGAAAAACAAAATTGCACAGGAATGGGATTATTTCTCCTGCAGATGTGTGGCAGGGCAGGTCTCTCATCTTCCACACCAAGGCATCGACAGTGACCTCTGCTTGTAGGTTAAGAGAATGTACAAAATGGCCAAGAAGTGCTCCCTCGTTTATCTGAATTAGGCCCTAAGCACCATTGACAAAGTTGAAGAAAAAAGTAATAACGAACTGATTCTCAAAGCATCATGAAACAAGACGTAAAAACATGCATGTCAGGGATGCTGCTTTAGAATAGCAAAGAAGCTTTCTAGCATTTAAGAAGGACGCAGTGACAAGATGACAATTGTAGAGAACACACAGGAGGAATAGACAGGCAGTCTACACTGCTTTAATACCCATTTTGAGATAGGATGGCATCTCACTAGACAGCTTTTCAAAGAAAAATGTGCAAAGGTCTCACAGATTTTCCAGAAGTGCTCATCTGTTTATTCCTTGTATGCAGATGAAGACATTTTGGCAGTTGGACAGACATCCACAGACATTTAATTAGGAATTACCACAGGCAGTGACAAGTGTTCATGAAACTTATGGTGACCATTTCCACCAGTGAATCTCAATAGCGTAATTGTGATTTGTTTTACCTGGGGACACCACAAACTGACATGCTGGCTTTTTTTGATGACTTATTTTTAAGTGAGTACAGAATATCCTTGGCCCAAGAACCAATGTAGCTTGGTATGCTCGTATTTAAAAATCACGAATATAAAAAACTACCCTTGCTTTAACATATTCCTTCAGTCTTATTATTCATGCACAGTCAAAAAATTTTTTCTGTATCCTCAAAGCAAAGTATTTAATCAGCAATAGGAAGTTTATCATGATGTGCATCGTGACCCCCCCTATTGCTCTAGACAGAAAATTCATGTTGCTGAGTGGGTGCATGCCAGCCCTAGTGAGGTGATCTCCTCTGTCCCCTGGGAGTGCAGTCTGGTAGGCAGTCCAGACACATGGTGGGTTTGGCCATCTACATGCTGTGTGCTCAGACCTCAGTCAGCCCTGATAGGGCTGGTTAGGTCAAGAGCAACACCACACAAGCCACTGCATGGAGCCAGAGGACGGAGGGTCTGATAGGTGAAGGAGCATTGCTACATTTGAGTGAGGCTGGAATGGACTACAGAAGCAGCGATCTCTCCTTAGCTATTTGCAAGCTAGGGGAATATCTTTAAGGACTGTGTTTTACCACTACTTTGAAAGGTTTATGGACTAACTGTGTCTATAGCTGTCATGACCCTGAGCACAGGATGCCCATTTTCACAACAAAGTAGGGATGTCAGTTTTCTGATCTCCCTCTCCATGCTGGAGTTTTCATGCCTGGTCATCCTACAGCAGCCCGAGCAGTCAGGAGGAGGTTGTGGGGGTGAGAGTTGGGCTTTGCTCTGAGGTGTGCAGCAGGAGACTGAGGGGCAGCTGGCATGGACAGAAACAGGGGAGATTTAAGCTGGAAGTAAGGAAGAACACTGTTGCTCCAGGGCTGGTAGCAATTAAGCTCTGAAGCAGGTTGCTCTGACAAGCTGTGGCAGACTGCACCACGGCTCAGCTCAGAGAGCAGCTGGCATGGATCACTTGCTTGGGACTGTTCCAGCCCAGGAGCTGTTAAGTGCCCTTCAATTCTCAGGCAAGTACCTCTGCCCTGAAGCCTTTAATCCAATTTATAGGGGTAATGAAACAAAGATAGAGGTGCCACCACTAACAGTCTGGAATTTGTTCCCTTCTAGGTGCAGTTTCTTGGGTGAGGGTGATGGGGAGGAAGAAAGGAACAGGAATTCTATTTATTGGTTGAGTGGGCTCTGAACATCACTTGACCTCACCAGGGCTGCTCAGGCAGGTATTGCTCGATAACTTCCAACATTACAGAGGTAAAAATAGAGGTTGGCTAGCCTATCATGAAGATGGTAAAACTGACATCCTGGCAGATTTTTGAGTGGCAGAGAGCTGAACTGAAGCAAAGGTGAACTATGATGGAACAAGAGCACATCCAGTAAATAACCTCTGATGGGCAGAAGTTCCTGATCTGTCCTGAGCACTACAGACCTGCCCACTGACTGGCCATCTGGTACCTTCTTGGTGAGAAGCAGCATCTTAAGCTCCTCTGGAGCTCTTGTACTGCTTCTCTTCTTTGAGAAATAAAAATATTATTTGGAGCATGACTTTTGAGTAAAAACTGCTGATTTTTCTGTGAAATAGCTGAGTGCCACATTACTGCATGTATTTTTAATGCAGAAGAGGATGTAATCTGCCACGCCTTCCCTGTTCTCATGAACAAATGTCATTCAGTAGTGTGCACTGAAAGAATGCTTGTATAGTGGGCCTGAATTCAGAAGCAGATAGGGAAAATCTGATAGTTAAATCACATGGACCTGGCCATATTTAAGAAGAGTTGTGAGATAAATCTATTTATCTATGATATGGAGTACTGATAAGTAACGTCTTACTTATTAGGGATACTCTGGACAACAAGCTCTGGCACCACTTGGAAGACTCTGTCCTACTGACTAAATGGATCTAGAAAGTTAACACGTGTAGTTCTTGTGTACTTTGTTTGGCTGATATAATTAAGCATTTGCCCCGTCAACATTTTCTTTCCATTTTCTACGATGATTTCAGCAGAAGTGTTTTAGATATTGGCATAACATGCGATTTACCACCTGCCCCAGGGGTCACATTAAAGCTGCTTGTGCAGGTGAATGTGTAAACATATGCAAGTTTCTTAGCAAGCTGTTCACTAGTGAAATGCATTGCCATGGGAGAAGTGAGAAGCCAGGGAGAACCTGGCTTATCTACCGGTGTGCATAATGTTTGTTCTCTGCAGGAAAACCTAGCAGCTCAGCTTGTCAAAGTAGCTGAAAAATGAACTAATGTTGATTTCTAAAATGTCTTTATTTAACCAGAGCTTATTTACTGCAAGATGTGCTCTGTTAATAGAATACAAAACTATCTGACAACAGAGTTGAAACTGAAAGCAGTACTTGAAGATGCCAATCTGTATTCACAAGTGCAAGTTTTCTGCACAAGTTTTAATTACAGTGTAACATGATGCAGTGTGTTATGACAAGAAGATTCCAACGTGCAGATGAAAGAGTCTGGCTTCTGCCTGTTATGTGGATTCAGAGGCTGTTCTTTAAAAAAATAAAATCTTAACAGACTTTGAGCTTGTTTTAAGATGGATGCTTACAGTCTACTTTTGAACACATATTCTGGTGCCTTTAAGCTATTGCACACACATGACACTTTTACCAAGGACTACATGAAGAAGACTTGAAGGTCATCCAAAGAATGAAATAAATTATTGTTTTCTCAGTATTGACAAAATGGCACAAAACGCACATTGCTTTTAAGACAGATTGGGGTAAGCACTAGTGGAAGGGAAGCTTTTGGAATGGTTTGCAACAGGACTTCTGAACAAAATGACATATCCCATAGCTGTGTAGTGTCTTAAGTGCAGACAGTGCTTTGCTATGATTGTCAACCCGTTCTTCAAGTGAGCCACCTTTCATTCCCACTCCTTAGGACACCGCTTAAGTAGCCACCAGCACTTTGGTCTTGAGAGGGAATACATTGTTTAGAAAAGAAGAGTCTTGAAAATAAGAAAAACATACAGCTTTACACAATCATGTTGTTAAGTTTAAGACACATACTCAATCTGAAAAATGTTAGAAAATTCTCTGTATGACTCCAACCACAAAACATACCATAATTCTTCCCACCTTTGCCCTGAGAAGAAAGAATGGCATACAAATAAGTATAGAATGACATAAACATTTGAAGCACGTATGCAATCTTGTGTGCCTGTCTGTCTCATTCATCTTAATGGGAGTTGCATGGGTTTGACAGAGGAGACAAAACCTTGGCCTAGACACCCTGTATTTGTATCATCAGAGATGGAAAGAACTGAATGTTTCTATGTAAAAAAATTGGACATGTTTCCTATGCCAGTTGTATGTAGTTCAACTGCATTGTTTTGAGAATATTGACTGTGGCTCAAAAACCCTTGGCTTATTTACAAAATACAAATCAAGCAGCATTTCCTGGCATTTAAATGATATCAGGACACCAGACCTGTTAAGGTAATATAACAAAAAAAGTTCATGGCTACTGGACTGGTATTATAATACTTTGCTCCTTGAGACTTACCAGCTACTCTGCTTGCTCCGTCCCACTCAGGAACTGGCTCTGCTGTTCGTGAATAGAGGGTTGGGAGTTCAGGGATCTGGGAGTAAATGTAATTTACTGCATCTGGTGTCAGAGAACAGGAAACAGTTAGATTTGTGTTATGAGCCCCAGTGGCTTCATTGCTTAGACAGCAGAGTGTTGTCAGCCCTGACAATGGTCACTGGAGATTTGTACTAGATAATTGGATCAAAGCAAACAAAGTGCAAAGTCACTGTCGTGTGATTGGTGTTCAAAAGACTAGCTGAGGCAGGAGGGAATGGGTCCAGATGACTCAAACCTTATGTCAGTTGAACACATAAAATTATTTGTCAGGAGGTTCTGGATTTATCAAGTCCGTGACCTTTAAAATGGGGGGAAGAGAGGAGAAGGTAAGGAACAAACCTAACGTGATACCCAGAATACATGACATTTCAAACAGCGATATAAAAGCCTAAAAATGCTAGTGTTGACTGAATGGGATGAAAGGCCAGCTCTTTTGCACTGGTTGTTTCCGGTATTATTGAACTGGCATTTGGCTTTTGTTCTTAAAGCTGAAATTTAGTTAATGAAATCACATATAGATACTGATAGGGTGCCCATTGCGACTTTCAGTAGGTATTAAGCACCTGCCAGTTCTGCAGTGCCATCACTCATTAACAAACCATGAACTAGCAGAAAGCTGTCTTAAAGGACTGATTTGTTTTACATTTGAGTTTATGGTTATTTAGTATAAACTAAATATGTTCTTTAGAAGACACATTGAAGAAATTTACAAATATTTACCAGGAGATGTTTTGTGGCTGAGCTAAATATAACTAGATAGCATATATTGTTCTGCTAGGATTCAGTGGCTGAGAAAGCAGAGCTCAGAGGAGAGAGTGCAAATAACTGACTTACAGTTCAGGCACCAAACCAAAATGAAAAAGAAAAAAAAAAAAACACCACCAAACACTTTCTCTTCTATCAACTGGAAATGTTTTCAGTTTTGCATGGAACTGGTTAAATTTCTGTTCAAACATACGATCCTATCTGGTGTGAAACAGAGCATTCTTCCTCCAAGGGTACTTTGCTGGTACAATGTATAATTTAAGTTGCTGATCCCTTGGTATGGCCTGGTTCATGTGTCAGGGTAGGAGGCAGAATCTGCCTTTCTTGGTGCCTCTTGATGTTATAAGCCGGTGAAATAAGAAGACCAGTGCAGACCGTAAAAGTGAACTGGTGAGTGGAGAGAGAAAATGAAATGTCCTGTTGTAGGTTGCTTGACTGCATCAGGTGAAAGGAGATACTTTCATCACATTCTCTATGGACTAACACCCATCTCCCAGGTAAACCCCTACACCTGGCGGCATCCTCAGCAAAGACATGATGTGCCACCTCTAATTACACATTCTGCTCCTTTGGCAGGAATACTGGGGTCGGTACTGGTGAAATGGTTTTACCATCTTAGCAGCCTGCAGTGGCCACCAGTGCTGCTGGGTGCAGGAAGACAGTAATCACAGTCCCCATGGAGCACTGTAGGTGCATGTAAGGAGGTCCACTTCTCCCTTCCTGCGTCAGAGGAGGATGGCACAGAGGCACAGTGCAAATTCATACCAGAAAGCCAAGAAGTTAGTATAAGTTTGCAACAGATGAATTTGAAAAAACACTCAGCCAGGGAAATACTGTTTTATTTCATACTGCAGTGGACAAATGGCAGTCTTGGCAAATGGGCTTTTATATTTTCAATGCATACTGTTTTCCCAAAGTTTTTTTTATTTTCAGCAGTAGAGCCTAGGAGAAGTAACTGTTTAGGACACAGCTGACTGAGCAATGGCCAGCAACAGCTACTTTCTTTTGTAGGGTTTCTTGACTCTGATGAGAAATTGGTACAATGCTTGGTGTTGTTATTCTGGGAAATATCACCAGCAAATGAGCAGGCTATTATTGAAAACGGAAGTAATTTCGCAGAAGAAAGAAATGGGGACTGTGTTTCTGGACCAGAACAAGAAGGCACTTTGTGTTCTGGAAATGGCAGAAATCTAGTAACTATTCAACCTGTAGAGTATACTGCTGGAACAGTACTTTCAGTATATGTTCATCCAGTGACTTGAGTGACAGACCTATCTGTCCCCATGTGGATGTAATCGGTGCAGACTTGTGCTGCTTAACTAATCATCCTTACTTATTTTGCAGTTCATGGAATAAAAAGGCACAGTTAGGGTTCCGTTCTCCTCCCTAGGCAGTGCAGAAGGCAAAATCCTTTGCAAGTGTTTGTTTTTCCCAAGTGCCTGGACAGGGAACTGAGCTGCCCACTTGGCAGACAGCACCACTGATGTCTAGCAGTAAGCAAGATTGTACGGCTTGATGATGAAATTCTCACTTTGATGGTGTACATGTCTGTGGACCTTAGTAAGGTGGGGGTTTTTGCCTCCTGTATTAGGAGACAATACCTAGGTAAATGTTAGGTGTTACTAATATCAACTCAGTTTAGAAACTTCTCTGTATGTTACTTAGAATAAATTATTAAAAAATTAGCTTCAGGGCTCCTGACAATCTCTTATTATTGTCTTCAGGAGGGAGAGCCAGGGTGGGGGTTACAGGGGTTGTGATTATTGTGTTCTTTCTTCTGAAGCGAGTGCTGCTGTCACGTGTCAGAAAGGGGTATTTGACTAGAAGAGGATGGGGTTTGGTTCATTCCACTAGTTCCTATCTTGTGCCCCTCCAAACAAAATGAACATGCGCATTTCTCTTTATCCCAATGGCAACAAGGTCTGTTTCATTTAGCACCTTTATAAGTGGTATAAGAGATCAATTTTACAAGGAGCGGAAGAGATGGAAATTAGCATTTTGTTTGCCTGAGAAGTAAGACAGAACATAAATTAAAGCATTTGAACTGACTTCATTCAGTACCTTAATTTCAACCTTTGATGAGTTATTAATATCTAAGGATGCCATAAAGCATGTCTTCTGGCTTTTTGTACTACTTACTTACAATGTACTGTGTTTCAGGACTATGGCACTCTTCCATATTATCAGACAAGTGCTTGAGAAAATATGTGGGGCAAGATAATCCTTCAAGGGTACTTACACAAAATTAAACCTTCAGAACTGCTTAGAATAGCTTCCATGAAGAGGCTTGTGGACAAATGTCAGATGAGCTCATTTTCCAAGGGCTGGATTATCTTTAAAAAGTCTGACTACTACTAAAATTAGTGGTAGGTCTTCTGCAAATACTGGTTCTCGGGGCAGGGCTGTTCCACCTGCAAAGCCCTCTGGGGCTCCACAGAGCTATATCAGAGGGAACAGAGATTATGACCCCCTCGCTGTGTTTGTAAGACCATGAATGGAGGTTTAAGCAGGAAGCTTTGCTACAAGTCTGGCTCTGACTTAGTGAATCATGCTTTAAACTAATGAACTTGTCATGTAGGTTCCACAGCTGATACTTGCATATACATAAGCAACAGTGTGGATGGGTGTACCTACCAGAGCAGCAATGAATGCTTCCCAACCCTTTCCAAAGGCAAAAACCGTAAGTTCAGCCACCTCAAGTGCATGTATGCCAATGTATGTAATCTGGGCAACAAGCAGGAGGAACTAGAGTTCTGTGCCCAGTCTGAGATATGTTATAGGAATCACAGAAACTTGTTGGGAAAACTCACATAATGGGAAAACCACAATGGATGGCTACAAACACTTTCAGAAAGACAGGAAGAGAAGGAGGTGGAGTTGCACTTTATGTGATAGAGAAATTTTATAGAGGAGATGTCTAGAGACCATGACAGTTCTACTGAATGAATGCCTTTCGATCAAGATCAGAGGGATCATCACCAAAGGAGACCTCATATTAGGTATCTGTTACTGACCTCCCAATCAGGATGATGAAGCCAACAAAACCTTACTTTTGCTGCTCAGGGAAGTCTCTGGCCAACAGAACCTGGTCCTCATGAGTAGCTTCACTTAACCAGACATTTGTTTGAAAAAGTAAATAAAATTCATGCACAAGCCATCCATCCTGGAATGCAGTAAGGACTGCTATAGATGCTGGACATGTTGACTAGGAGTAGCACATTGGTAGATTTACTGCTCACAAACTGAGAAGATTTATTTGACAACATAATTACCAATGGTAGCCTTGGATACAGTGACCAAAACATTGTGGAGTTTAAGATCCTGCTGAGCACACCGAAGACCAGTAGTAGGATGAAGACCCTCAATTTTAGAAGAGCCAACTTTAACATGCTCAGAGCCCAGCTGTGAGGGATTCTATGAGAAGCATCCATGGAGGGCAAAGGAGCTTCTGAGTGCTGGAAGTTATTCAAGAATAGTCTCCTGAAAGCACAAGAACAGTCCATCCTCTACAAAAAGAAAGGAAGAAGGATGAACAAAAGACCACCATGTCTTAGCAATGAGCATTTAAGTGTAATTAAAAGCAAAAAAAGGAAGCATACTGGCTACGGAAAGGCAGCCAAATTGCAATTGAGGACTACAAGAACCTTGCTAGGGCATGCAGGGATGCAGTCAGGAAGGCTAAGGCTTAGCTAGAACTGAAATTGGCCAAAGATGTCAAGTACAATGAGAAAGGGTTCTTCAGATTTGTGAACAGTAAGCAGAAGCACAGGGAAGACATGGGCCCATTACTGAATAGGGCATGGAACTAGTCACTAACAATGCTAACAAGGCAAATGTTCTCAATACCTTCTCTGCCTCTGTCCTTACTGGTGTAGCAGGACCCCAGATCACAAGATCAAGTAGCTATGACAACTCATGTGCTGACCCACCAGTAGTGGAGGAAGGGCTGGTCTGTGGCCTCTCACAAGAAATCAACTCGCATAAATCCATGGGTCCGATCGGAATCAACCTCAAAGTATTAAGAGAAGTGGCTGACATTGTTGCAAGGAGACTGTCCATAATATTTGAAAGTCATGAAGATCAGGATGTCCCTGGTGACTAGAAGAAGGAAAATGTCATACCCATCTACAGGAAGGGACCAAAAGAGGACCCAGGAAACTAGAAGCCCATTGGTCCTACTTCATTGCCTGGGAAAGTGATGGAATGAGTCCTCCCTAGAAACTATTACAAGCCAAATGAATCAGGTGATTGAGAAAGGCCAGCATGGATTTACCAGGGAAAATCATGACAGACTAACCTGATCGCCTTCTACAACAAAATAACACCTTCTGTTGACCTGGGGAGAGCAGTGGATGTTGTTTACTTGGACTTCAGCAAAGCTTTTGACACTGTTTCCCACAGCCTTCTCCCGGACAAACTGGCAAGATACAGATTGGATGAGTGATCTGTGAGATGAATGGGAAATTGGGTGACAGGCTGCACTCAACAGGTGGTGATCAATGGTTTTTGCTCAGGTGGCCAGAGGTGCTGTAATTGTGGCAGCCATAGATGCAGATCAAATTAAGAAGTTACTTAAAACCCTACAACTGAAAAACAATTGCTGATGAGGTTTTACAAGGACACATGGAAAGTGCTCTACAAAGATCTGTACTTGACTCCTCTGAGGGCATGCTTGTCTGTTTTGCTGTTGGGCTGTACAGATGTTTAGGATCAGAGGAGAGAAAACTTGAAAAGTGTCTAAGCCATGTGCTGGGAACTATACAGTCCAGGCCAGGTTTCCAAAGCCACATCTTTGCCAAATATATGCTAATACATACCAAATACAAACAGAGGTCTGTGCAATCTGTAGTTACTGCAATAGTGGCTTCTATATGTTGCCTGAAGTAACAACATGTAGTTTTCATACACATGACCAAAGACTGTAAAGGACAAATTTACCCCTGAGGCAAATTCAGCAGACAAGGGAGTTACATCAGATCTTAATGTGGCTTATATTTTATATATACATTGAGCCATAAACATACACATACAGAGTAAGAGCTCGCTCTCCTTCCCAGCTGTTCACAAAGCATGCAGCATAGCACTACAGCATGCCGGGTTCTGACGGCGGCTGTGAGCAGTAACAAGTTATGTCATTCCTAGCATCATCTCAGTCCTAGTTTAATGGAGAACTTGTCAGTGACAAGCCACCAAGTTGCTGGCAGAAGCATGACTGCAGGTGACAGGACCACAGCCCTGAGCCTTAGCATTTCTGCTCTGCTTTCTCTTGTCTGGTAATCTATGAAGACAAGTGTGTCTGTATACTGGAAAATGTGGGATTTACGTTTTTTGTGCCTGCATCACTTCAAGCCACTGGCGCTCACCACCACTTCTCCCCCCCTTGCAGCCTTCATCTAGACCCCTCTGGGCTTTCTGCACACTCAAAACCTCCGTCACCACCACATATACGGCACAAAAACACGCACAGGGACACAATGGTGAGATAAATCACTTTCTGTACTGTCATCACATTTAGAATAAAGGGAAGGATGGACAGAGAGCAAACTAAGGTGAGATTTATGGACTTGAACATGATATTACATCAGTTGAAGAAATTACCCCAACAGGTCAGTGTTGGTTTGTGTATGTGTTTCACACAGCCTTCCCATATTACCTAATGGCTCCTACCATTTTCCCCTGCAGTGTGTTATAGACAGTTGCCAGACAGATGACTGATCTGCTACAACAAAGCAAGTCCTACAGGTTTTTGAAGGAAAGAAAAATCTATGGTACCAAAGTGCTCACAGTTAGCTATCTATGTGTTTTCCTCCTCTGATCAGTAACCCTCACAGACTGTTGTCAGAAAGAAAACAGAGGACCTGCTGGCCTTTCACCATGTGAAGATGTATGGTCCCATAGTGCCCCCAGTGGCAGGGCTAACAGGACAGCTTGCAGCCTTGGTCATCCCTAGAGGTGCAGAGTATGGTACTGCTTAGAGGATGACCAGGGCCTGCCTCAGCCCACAGAGAGCAGCTGATGAGAGGAAGGAACAAGATATATAGAGCAAGTGGTCTGGAAAAGGAGAGGTACCAGTTAACACCTTTACTCCCTGCTCCCTCTGCTTGCACATTTATTCCTCAGGCACTCTATTCTCTTCGGCATAGTTTTGCAGTTTTCTGTTACCCTTCAGAAATCACGAGCTGTCCTTGCTTCTGGCTCAGTCTGTGAGGGGGGAATTCATTGAAACTAGGCAAAACCTGGAGAGCAGTGAGGCTCCTCTTGAACCCAATGAAATACTACTAGTATTGACCTCATTATTTTGAATCTTGTCAGTTCAAAGACATGTACTGAGAACGAGTGTCTGGTCTGGACCACAGATTTCTCTGCAGATGGATCACCATGATATCCTGGGCCCTAAGGTCCTGGAGACGCACTGCAAGGGTCTCTCTAGCTTCCTGGGAACCAACCATATTATTTTCTCACTCAAACACCTAAATTTATAACTCATTATTTAGACTGATCACACATAGTGTGACACTGAGTTCATAAACTAGGAATTATTACATCCTCATTCATCCATGAAGGTTTTCCTTTTGTAAGAATCATCATGCAAAGAATGTAATTCATCAGCGAAGTAATCTAATGTTAATAGTTGTTCCTGTATATTAGGAATAGTCCTCATTGTATTTAAGTGTTTATTAACAGAGCATGAGCACATACAGTGGAGAAGATTGACCACAGAGAGGTGAAAAGGAGTCTGCAATGCAGGGCTATCATGGTGAAAGAAGTCAATAACAGAGAAGTTGTATGATGTCTGTTTTAAGTCATCCATGCTGTTTTTACCCTTGTGTGCACATAAGAAGAGGTGGAGCTCTGCCAGAGAAATATTGTTTCACCACTGTAGTGACCTTTGTGCTTGCACTATAACAATACCAAAGGAAAAGGTAATGGCTCTAGCAATAAATCTGAAGCATACAATGAAGAGAAAGAACCCCCACTCTGTAAACCTTTGCAACAAAGCTATAGGAACAACTCTTGTTAAAACCAAAGCATAATAAAAAGGCACTTACCACCATCCTGTTGTGAGAAACTCTGTGAAGGGAAAAAATAAGTTGTTTGGTTAAACCTTTCATATTTTGGGTATAATTTGCATGAAGTCTTGATTTTTATGCTAGGCTTGCTTTTATGGTTCTCTGTAATTTTTAAATTGGTAATTGGGGATGCAGCTCCTCAGGTTCAGGTGCCATTAGAGGCTGAGGGACAGGGTATAACTAAAAGGAGAACAATGCTGTTTCTTGCAGGCTGTAATGTTCAGAAGCTGTTCTTTTTGGTGAGTACTACTATTTCTGGGTGCCACTGTGAGCAGAGAAGTTTGAGATGCCTTTCAGAATCCTGCTGACATCTTTCACTGGGGCCAAAAGCTCACATTGTTTCCCTGCAGATAAGCTAGAGAGATAGTCTCTGAACTCCCTCTTCAAAAAAGCTAGAGTGGGAAGGGGAAATCCAAACAACCCAACCAAAATCGATCTGACAACTCCGTAACTTTTCTAGTCTTGTTCATCCTGGTTTGAGCTACATGCTCTGCAACTATCCTCAATCTTCTCATAAGTACATGAATTATAACTGCTGCTTTCAGTCTACTTTGCTAAGAGTCTACCTTGATTTCAAGCTGTGCCTGGGCATCTTGATTTTTGAAATACCTTTTGCAAGTTGTCGTAGGATTTCTCAGTCTCCTTTAGTTTCTCCAAAATGATTTGTTCTTTGGCAGATATTTGGGACTCCTCACTTTCTAATTTCTGTATTTCTTGTTCCAGCCTGTGGAAGACAGACAGACATGCACATACACACAAAAATAAAACATGTTAAAATTATTTCAATTAGCCATAGTTTCCTAGGTATTTCAAATGTCATCAGGAACAACTTCCATTCATTATTCACACTGCTTTCCTAGTGCACGAAGGCCATGTGAATTATTTGTTAACAGAACTAATTAAAAGAAAAACCGTAATTCTCTTATCTACATTTGCAAAAGCATGTACAGTTTAACTAAAAATATACCTTGGTATCACTTCACCCCAATTCCCGTAACATCTTTCAGATATGCACTTTCAGTTTAGAAATCACGGTACAGGATATAACCATAAATATGCAGCAATAATTAGAGAAATAGGTGTCTTCTAGTGCTTCCCTACTCCAGACACTGAAACTGGAAGCATTTGTTGGAAGCTGGCAGTCCAACAGTTGTGTTAGGAGTTTCTCTTGAACCAGTACTTTGCCCACTCCTGACAATAACACTTTGGGATATCCATCCATGCTTTCTGCTGTTACACCATGATACTGGGTAATCAAATACACAGGCTGCTCAGAAAATACAACAATTTGGCTAGGTAGTAAGCATTCAGCACTCTTGTTTCTCTTGTTGAGACCTAATGGCACTCACTCCTTAAGGTGTTTTGCTTGTGATTTGGGATACACTTTAATCAGGGCTAGATTCTCCATTACTTTAACTCAAGCCTCCTTTTATTGACATGATTTATGCAGGTGAAGGAATATTCCCTCTTTCTCTCTATTTTTATGTATACCACCATCTTCTCACTTTTGAACAATAAAAATATCTGTAACATGAGCTAAGATGAACACTTTTGAACAGGTATAGTTATCTAAAACGCCTGTTGTCTATAAAAGAGCTGTGGCTGCTCACAGCCTTCTTGGCCATATTCTTTTGACCACAACAGATCAGCATCATCCAGTACTTTTCTTACCCATGGCTGTTTGCTCTTGCCTTTCTGTCACTACGTCTTAAATGAAGGATTAGGGCACTAATCCAAGCTAGTGGGACACATTTTTTTCTCTTTCCCAGCCCTGTTCAGCACAGGATTTCATTAATGCTCGTTCAATCACAAGGCAGAGGGCAAGGAGAAGGTGACAGTGAGCAGGTAGGGAGAAGGGAAGGAGGGACTGCTCCTTTCAGGGGCTTGACAGATTGAGTTGCTTGTGAAATTCCTGTTCCTAAATAGAGATGCAGGGATCTAACTTAAGGAACCCACCTGGGAAATTTTTCCTCACTTTTTAATTGTGCAAGGATGCACAATTGTGTGGCACTTACTGATAACACTTTTCATTAGAGGGAGTCAAAATTGTCACAGCCTCAAGTTATTGAAGATGAAAAAAGGGAGATTTTGCTCCCCTGAAGTATGCAAAGACTTATAGTCACCAATTTGTGGTGGTTTGTTGAAGCACCATTTTTCTCTTAAAGGCAAGCCCCTCATCTCCAAGTTTAAATGGCTTAATTACAGTGAATTTACAAGGAACTGTTGGAAAATACTGCTCCAATTCAATGTTTTCTCAAAATTAATACCAAAACTTAAAAAATGCAAAATATTTCAAAATGAAATCTGAAATGGAACAGTTTGATACAAGATGATTTTTCCCCCCTCATGCTGTGATTGGGGAGAAAGCTTTTAAAAAAATACTGTTTCATCTTGACTTTTCTTCCTAGGAAATTTTTAAAAATACCTAGTGAAATGAAAAAATCATTTGTCACTGAGGTCAGCCATTGCTCTGCTCCTACTTAATGAATTTAGAAGCCAACAGGAGGGTGGCTTCTTTTCCTTCCCTATCCCTGGAAACAATTAGTAGATCCACGTACATTTATACCTTGCTGATAAAGACATTTGAAATATTCTGCTGTGCTGTCTAGTGAAATTATATTGTGGAGCTGGGAGAGCTGGAGTTTACTGGTACGTTCTTTTTCTTCCCAAGTGAACCACTAAGCAGCATTTTCAGGATACATATTCTGTAGCCTGGTACATTTTGCTAACTATATGATCCAGTAAGAGACTGAAAAATGGGAGTGTGTAGAAGTCAGCAACAACAAAACAAAGAGGAAGAAAGTAGTCCTTTTTCTTTCAAATGAACTGGACATTAGTTAATAAATTATGACAATGAAAACAGTGTGAGTATAAATAATGTGAGGCAACTCATTTGATGTGAGTAAGGTTCTAAACAGGTGGCCTCCCTGTCATTTGGGGTTATCCTAAGTCACCACTTTTTATGTACCAGCTCAAAACTATAGAAGGCTTGTCATGAATTGTTTGCTCTTTCAGAGAAGGTTTGCTTCTAATGCATGCACAAGTGCACTTGCACATGCAGGCCCAATCATTGATTTGATTTATATTTTCGTACTTTCTGGCTACTTGCTCTTTTGTTTTTACTCGTTTACTCCTCTTTTATCCTCCCCTCCTGGTTCACTTCCTTGGTTTCTGCTTTCTTAGAGCCAGCCTACCCTCACCATTAAAACAAGATGGGCAGATGAAACATTGTTACTCTATTTTGCAAGACAATTTTGTGGGGGTTTGGTGTTGTTCTTTTGTTGTTTGTTTGCTTTTTCACCCTGAATCCTTTCTTCAGTTCCTTTTAGAAGCAGTATTAACAACAACTTCCTAAAGAGTAAAGGGGTGGAGACACAGCTGCCAAGATTTAGAAACATGGGTGAAGCTCGAAGGGACACAGATTTCCTGTGTGACACCAAGAATGTATACAAACTCATAAGTGCAAACTGCCCTTGTCCAACTGAAATCAGATTGAGAGTCTCCGAGGCTCTGTGTGGTCCTGAATTCCGAATTGTGGCAGGAAAAATGTGGATCATTCAGCCAGAATGTTCTTTTAGATAGCACAGGGGTCATATATCAAGCATTAATACCCACAGGAAGTCGCCTGATACCTTTTTGCTCGATTTTATACCACTTTCATCCATACTGTCTAGGTTTAAAGGCTGAGGTAATGCTGCTAAGGTACAGAGGTAACTGAAATACTCAAGGACACAGTTTCCATGTGAGCTGTTGTATACATTCATCAGTCAACCATCAGGGCACCACAGACCTGGCAAATTTGGACTTTCTTTAGGCTGCCCTTTTATAGCAATGCAAAAATTAAAACCATAATGCAATCCAAAGGCTGTTTTGCATGCTGTATCTTTTTAGTGAGCTTCACATCATCGGAACTAGTGAGTTATAAGGAGAACTGCCTTCTTTTTTGTTCACAAGATACAACAGAGGCATGCAAATTTGGTCTGCATTAATATCACACCTGTTTCAAGCAACATGCCATATAATGGTTTAAACAGCAATAAATCCATTCAGAGTGCATGTGTACACATACATGCATATACAAAGTGCTTACATTCTTCCTGTATAAAAGTGTTAAATATTGAATAACATCCTTTTCTTCTAGCCCATTTTAAAAAGGATGTGTCTTAATTGTCATTTGACACCTGGCAAGGAAACCTTACAATTCCCTTGTTCCTGGCTTCTTAGCAGATTTCAGGCTGGTGTTTGAAAGACGGCCACAGAATAAAGCCAGTTAAATAAACAACTACAGTATCTGGAGTACTGTAGGGGGGAAAAAAAGTCAAAAAATGGAGATCCAGATGACATAGGAATGGTGTAAAACAGACTGTTAGTATTGCTGCTCATTGGCCTAAGAGTTATCTGATCACTGAGATTTGCTATTATAAATGATCAGCCATGAGATCAGAATAGGATGCTTCTTCCAGCTGGAGCTTGAAAATTCCCAGTGATGGGGGAAAAAATAAAGTTCTAAGGCTACTTGCAGCCCTTCTCTTTTATAGTCTGTAGCTATCAGACATCATGTCCTGCAAAACTCAGACCAGAACCACAGAACCATCTAGGTTGGAAAGGACCCTGGAGATCATCTAATCCAACCATTCACCTAGCACAGTTCCCACCTACAGCATATCCTTAAGCTCCAAATCGACCCTACTCTTCAACACCTCCAGGGATGGGGACTCCACCACCTCCCTGGGCAGCCCATTCCAACACCTAACAATCCAGTCTGTAAAGAAATGTTTCCTAATATCTAGTCTGAACTTTCCCTGGTGCAACTTGAGGCCATTCCCTCTTGTCCTCTTGCTTTCTACTAGGCTAAAGAGACTCATCCCCAGCTCTCTGCACCCTCCTTTCAGGGAGCTGTAGAGGGTGATGAGGTCTCCCCTCAGCCTCCTCTTCTCCAGACTAAACAATCCCAGTTCCCTCAGCTGCTCCTCATAGGACATGTGTTCCAGACCCTTGAGCTTTGTAGCCCTTCTCTGGACACGCTCGAGTCATTCAATGTCCTTTTTGGAATGATGGGCCCAAAACTGAACCCAGTCATCGAGGTGCGGCCTCACCAGTGCCGAGTACAGGGGTCAGATCCCTTCCCTGTCCCTGCTGGCCACGCTAGTGCTGACACCAGCCAGGATGCCATTGGCCTTCTTGGCCCCTGGGCACACTGCTGGCTCCTGTCCAGCTGGCTGTCAGTCAACTCCCCCAGGTCCCTCTCTGACTGGCAGCTCTCCAGCCACTCCTCCCCAAGCCTGTAGCGCTGCTGGGGGTTGTTGTGGCCCAAGGGCAGCCCCCAGCATTTGCCCTTATTGAAACTCCTCCAGTTGGGCTCAGCCCATGGCTCCAGCCTGTCCAGGTCTCTCTGCAGCCTCCCTACCCTTGAGCAGATCAACACTCCCACCCAACTGGGTGTCACCTGCAAACTGACTGAGGGTGCACTCGATCCCCTCGTCTGGATCATCAATAAAGATGTTAAACAGGAGTGGCCCCAAAACCCAGCCCTGGGGGATACCACTCATGACTGGCCGCCAGCTGGATTTAACTCCACTCAATAATTGAAGAGGATGAGGGATGAGGAAGAGGATGAACCAGACTGCTAAAGGAAGTCTGGTCTGTGTGTTTGGTGGGATTTTGACCTAAGCAGGTGGTTACAGAGTGTAGGCTAGGCTGACAGTGCAGTTTCTGAGAGGACTG